CTGCCATGGACAATTATTGTGTCCCCAGTTTAAATGACTTTTGTCTCTGCATCCAGATGTTATGCTGTTATGCAGTCAGCAGTGTTTTAAGAAAAAAATAACTTGTTTAGTGAAACAAGGTGATAATATGATTACACTAATTTGTTATTATTCACTTGACTCTAATATTGGTTTATTGAGCAAATACAGGGCTAGGCTGAGCCCAGCAAATACAACTGGTTTCACAAAAGGGGTTATTTTTCCCCGAATTTCCCTGAATTTTAAATGCTTGTATTTCAGTTAAAATAAAACCCTGTTTTCCATAAATCAAAACTTGTCCTAAAATAGATCCAGACCGTTGTATGTATTTTACTCTTCTTTTATATAACAGTGTTATAATAGCTTAGAACAACATTATTGGGTATTTTAACCATCATCCACATTTCAGTCTGGTTGCTGAAAATGGTCAGTAGGCGACTCTTCAAAAACACATTTAGCTTCTTAACCCTGTATTTAGATTAGAAGCTTAAATATCAGAGTATTTAAATGATGCAGTTTGCATCAGCTGGTTTGGATCAGGGGTCCGTTTCATGAAGCAGGTTTACCGGAAACTCAAAGTTGTCTAAACCTGAAAATAGGGAATCTCTGACTTTTCCGGTTCACATAGAGAGTTCATTCAACATCTATTTTAGTCACCGTAGTAAAATTCTCCCTTTAGCTAAGCTGGGCGGTAGGTTGGCAGGTTTTCTTCTGTAAAATCAGATTTTCCTCTGTCTCCACCCTCCTTACAACCAATCATGCTATTTCCTGATATACGTAGTCAAATTTTTGTTGTAGTTTTGTGCATAAAAAAAAAAAAAAAAAAAATACAGCACCAAAAGTTTGAACACACCTTCTCATTCAAACAGTTGCCTTCATTTTCATGACTATGAAAATGATAGATTCACACTAAACTATGAAATAAGATGTGTGGAATTAAATACTTAACAAAAAAGTTAAGTATATATAAGACTTTCTTGGAGCTTGAGCAAAGCATGTGCGATATTATTATTAAATTCATAACAGCAAAAAATGCGGAAATGAAAGCTCAATTAAATATGACAAAAAAATCACCATCATCCAGTCTATTTTCAGTTTCTGCCCAAATATTTTCTTTTTGTTGTGGATTTTTGCAACAGGGATCGGAGCGGAATGCTGACGGACCCCCAGATTCCACATACTCCGTCAGCGCTCCGTCCCGCTAACGTACGTTTTGCTGAGCACTTGTGTGTCACGTTAATCAATGAGAGCTGTTCCACATCCACCGCTACTCCTCTGCATGTCACCGTCCACGTACATCTTCACCGTCCGTCACCATCAAAATACGAAGCCGAGCTATGTTTTTCTCCACTCCAGTCTGGCCAGATTAAGATCCAAAATTGAAGAGAACGGTGAAAAGATTTGGTTTGTCAAGTTAAAATGTAGTAACAACAGATCAGCAACTACAAATTATAGCAAAATTCTTATATATTCCTAAAAACTAACACCCTTTATTTAAAAGATTGGATGCAAACTACTTTTTCTTCAACATACCAGGAAGCAGATTTCTCATCTCCATCCAAATATTTATTTTATACCGAGGCGCTTAAAAATATAATCAAATCTAGTCAAAAGAAACTTCTTATTGCAGGAATGGATGAAGAGATGCTGAATAGAAATTTTGTTTTCCTTTTACCTATAGACCACACATTCTCTATGTAGTTAATATACACATAGACAGAACATATATAGTATAATATAAGATTCAAAGATTACAATATTAGTATTATTAATTCTGCTTAATTGTTGTCCTTGTCTGTTTTCTTCATTCAGTGCTGATGATCTGGAGGATCACAGTGGTTGTAATTATCTCTTTAGTCCTGTTTGGATTCACCCTCCGTTTTTGTACAAGAAGGATGGGTAAGAAAAACCTATAATAAGACATTTAAGCTGTTGTTTTGATTTAAAACGACTTTTTTGTTAGTGTAAGTTAAATTGATGTATTACTTTTATTTAAAAAAAATAACCACCTTTATTTACTGAATTTCCCCTTAAAAAAGGTTCAAAATGTTTTAACATCTTTAATATTTGTATTTTTTTCTTTTAGAGAAATGTTCAGATAGGTAAGACATGTTTTCGGCTNTGAAGACTTCAGCCACAGTTAATATACTGGGAAACAACTTTGTTAGTAGACTTATACTTAGCAGCACTTATCTGTTCATTCATTGCCAGCGGGAGGCAGAGCAAAAAAGTGCTCAAACTGTAAGACTATCTCTGTTTAAGTGAAAGCAAACCTGCCATGGACAATTATTGTGTCCCCAGTTTAAATGACTTTTGTCTCTGCATCCAGATGTTATGCTGTTATGCAGTCAGCAGTGTTTTAAGAAAAAAATAACTTGTTTAGTGAAACAAGGTGATAATATGATTACACTAATTTGTTATTATTCACTTGACTCTAATATTGGTTTATTGAGCAAATACAGGGCTAGGCTGAGCCCAGCAAATACAACTGGTTTCACAAAAGGGGTTATTTTTCCCCGAATTTCCCTGAATTTTAAATGCTTGTATTTCAGTTAAAATAAAACCCTGTTTTCCATAAATCAAAACTTGTCCTAAAATAGATCCAGACCGTTGTATGTATTTTACTCTTCTTTTATATAACAGTGTTATAATAGCTTAGAACAACATTATTGGGTATTTTAACCATCATCCACATTTCAGTCTGGTTGCTGAAAATGGTCAGTAGGCGACTCTTCAAAAACACATTTAGCTTCTTAACCCTGTATTTAGATTAGAAGCTTAAATATCAGAGTATTTAAATGATGCAGTTTGCATCAGCTGGTTTGGATCAGGGGTCCGTTTCATGAAGCAGGTTTACCGGAAACTCAAAGTTGTCTAAACCTGAAAATAGGGAATCTCTGACTTTTCCGGTTCACATAGAGAGTTCATTCAACATCTATTTTAGTCACCGTAGTAAAATTCTCCCTTTAGCTAAGCTGGGCGGTAGGTTGGCAGGTTTTCTTCTGTAAAATCAGATTTTCCTCTGTCTCCACCCTCCTTACAACCAATCATGCTATTTCCTGATATACGTAGTCAAATTTTTGTTGTAGTTTTGTGCATAAAAAAAAAAAAAAAAAAAATACAGCACCAAAAGTTTGAACACACCTTCTCATTCAAACAGTTGCCTTCATTTTCATGACTATGAAAATGATAGATTCACACTAAACTATGAAATAAGATGTGTGGAATTAAATACTTAACAAAAAAGTTAAGTATATATAAGACTTTCTTGGAGCTTGAGCAAAGCATGTGCGATATTATTATTAAATTCATAACAGCAAAAAATGCGGAAATGAAAGCTCAATTAAATATGACAAAAAAATCACCATCATCCAGTCTATTTTCAGTTTCTGCCCAAATATTTTCTTTTTGTTGTGGATTTTTGCAACAGGGATCGGAGCGGAATGCTGACGGACCCCCAGATTCCACATACTCCGTCAGCGCTCCGTCCCGCTAACGTACGTTTTGCTGAGCACTTGTGTGTCA